CTAACCCGAAGCTAATCCTTGATGATGTGAGGTGCTCTTTGACATAGAGTGCAACCCCCCCACCTTTCCTCTCCTGTCTCTTCTCACCCAGGTGGTCAAGGACCTGGAGGCCCCTTACCAGGTTGTCGCCTGTGGCCAGGACCAGGTCCAACAGGGATTTTTGTTTTAAAGTATGTTGTTATGCTCAAGCTAACTGATTTGTAATTGCCTAAATAACTTTTCCTTCCTTCCCCCACCCTCTTAAATACAAGTACCCTTACTACTCTGCAGTCATATTGTATCACCCTTGAGGTTTGGGATGGAGGTTAGCTGGTTCCCTTCCATTCTGAATACAAACTTGAGTGCAGAACTTTGCTGCTGTTTGTCTCCAGCTGTAAATATTTCCTTGACTGCATCTTGGATACTGGTTATCAGGATCGCAGTACCACCACTATTTTCTGTGTTGTTTTTATTTAAAAATATCTTTAAGAACAAATTGTTAGGGTTTACTACATTGTAACCTAGGGATTTAAGCTATGTCTTATGTTGCTTTGGAGTAAGCCTTTCTTGAAATTCTGTTCTGTGCAACCAAACCTGTTCAGTTTAGGTCTTCTCAGAATTCAGTCGAGGATAGCATGCAACAAATGAGCTTGGTAAATGAGATGTTCCAAAAAAACATTCTGAATACAGTAGCAAGGAATCAAAATGTGTGATGTTCATGTGGAACACCTCTTGAGTTGGGTGTAGATTGCTGCTTTTCTTAGAATTTAAAGGTCAGTGCGATTATCCTGCCACTGAATTGTTCCTGGAAGATGCAAGTGTTTACAGCAGCATATTGCACTTTTATCCAAGAATATCAAAGTCCTTAATTCATTAATGCTCAATGCTGAAATACTTCTTGGCAGCCTCAACAGAAAAGGACCAATGATTGGTTAGCAGTGAGAACTGAATAACACTCATGAAGTGTCCCTTTGAGAATTAATTGAAGTATACTTTTTGAGGGACGGAGGGAGGTGGAATCTTGCATTGATGCAGTAAATGTTACTTCTGATCTGTGTACAGGCTGTTAGGTTCTGAGTTGGCAGCCCCTTCATCAGTACTGAATCTCATGTAGAATTGTAGGTTAAGTTAGCACATGTTTTCTGATTTTTGAAATATAGTTGTGACATCTGCAGTTTTTTAAATGTGGTGCATTTTTTTCTTGGTTGCTTCACCACTGCTGATAGAAGTTGGAAGTTGTGTTGACAAGCAACATATTCTTTCTTCTTCTCTTGCCTCCCTCTCTTTTTGCACATTCTCTCCGCCCTCAATCTAGCAAATGGAAAGGTGACAATAGCAGCGTCAGTTCACTGTGCATCAGTCCAGATGGGAAGATGTTACTTTCAGCTGGTCGAACCATCAAACTGTGGGACCTGGAGACCAAAGAAGTCTACAGAGTGAGTGACTTGTTACATGCTAAACAGTATTTTTTTCGGGGTTAAACAGGCATTGCCCATCTACTTTTTCATAATACAGCGTGTCCAAGTTGTGGCACAAGACAAACAGCTGTTAGGCCAGGGGTTGCTGGAAGCTGCTGCTGTGATGATACCTTCAACTGTGGTTTCGGTCTGCTGACAGTTGAATGAGGACGCTAAATTCCTTGGCTGTGTCTGAGCTTGCTGCCAGTAGCCCCATATACAAAGTTTCAATATAAGTTTGCATGGCTTTTGTTTTCCCTGGATCCATTTTTGCATGTGTTCCTTATTCTGAATGCAAAAACAAAAAGATAGGCCAAACCAACTGCTTTCAGAAGTGATAATGGATTGTATAACAGCAGGATTCAGAGACCAGGTGTAATAAGACTTCATAATTTCCTCAGGCAGCCTTATCTCTAAATGGTCAGTTACTAACTTGCCATCAAAGCAGTTAGGAGGAGGTCTGGTAGCAAAAATCCTAATGTTCTGGAGACACAGGGATAGACCAAACTTGGTCTGAACAAGTAGAATGTAACTACCGTATTTACTAAAATACAAGACAAGGTTTCCCTCCCAAGTTCCTCATCCTGTAATTGCATACAACAAAATCTCACTAAATACATTGTCTGTTATTAAACTGCTGCCAAAAGCAGCAGGTGTTCAGCAATGGAAACCAACTATGAAGTCGATTAAATGCAGCCAACACTCAGCACGACTATAAAACACATGGCTTACATTGGGTTAACATGCTGATGGGAACCTACCACAAGACTAGGTTAGTGTAGCCCATCTGAACAAGATATGTGATAGTGCCCATAAAGCACAGTCCCCCCCACTGCTGACTCTTTTACAAGTCATGGTTTCATAGTTTCATAGATTAAGGGTCGGAAGGGACCTAGTAGATCTTCTAGCCCGACCCCCCTGCCAGGGCGGGAGAACAACAAAAAACCCCAAAAACAAGAAACGGGACTCAAGTGAGTCCAGCCAGGTAGGCATCCAGCCTCTTCTTAAAGACCCCCAGGGTAGGGGCCAGCACCACTTCCCTTGGAAGTTGGTTCCAGCTCCTAGCCGCCCTAACTGTGAAGTAGTTCTTGCGGATGTCCAATCTATACCTCCTCTCCATCAACTTGTGCCCATTGCTTCTTGTTATGCCAGCGGGCGCTAGGGGAAACAGCGTCTCCCCCAAACCCTTCTGGTCCCCCCTAGTGAGTCTATAGACTGTCACCAGGTCCCCCCTCAGCCTTCTCTTGTGGAGGCTGAATAGGTTCAGGTCCTGCAGTCTCTCACTGTAGGGTCTGCCCTGCTGGTTCCTACTGCCCAAGTGCAGCACCCTGCACTTGTCCGTATTGAAACGCATCCTGTTCCTGTTAGCCCACCCCTGTAACCAATGTTGGTCCACAACATTGCATATGTAGACCCTCTCTCAGCCTAGTGTACGTGATCAATGGCCCTGCCGTCCATGAGGTGAAGTCGGAGTAGGTTGTCTTGCCCCTCATCTGCATATACATTTTTGCAGCTTCCCAGGATTTGTGACAGGAATATCTGGTTCCAGTCATGAGTGGGGGCTAATTAGCACATGGGCCCTTGATTTTGGGGGGAGGGGAGGAGTGTATTTGGAGTACAGATGCATACTGAGCACTGCTGAACTGTGGGGTCACTACAGCTTGAAATGCTCTTGACTCTGGTGGGGGCCCAGGCCAATGAACTATATGATAAATTATGAACCTTTGGCATTGGACTAATATAGCTTGTACTTCATATAAGTAGTTGCCAAAGTGATGCTTAGAAGTGTATTTATGGTGTACTTGTGCTAAAATTTGCAGCAGTTAAAACAAAAAAAAAAAAAGAGGTAGCATTCTGGAATAACGAAGTGTGTGGGTAATACCCAAATTGTTACAGCCATGTTTAATTTCAAGGTTATTGTTTTCAACTTGGCTTCTCATTTCCATGTGCTCAGGGAGAGCAGGGTCTGACCATAAGGAGAGGGGGAAGGGGCTGACAAGGGAAAGAAGTTGGGGGGAAGCAGAAGGTAAAGGACTATCTGACCCCCCTCAGATGTGTGTTCCCTGCTACAGCAGTGAGAGACTGACAAATTCAACACAAGCCTCCAGTAATTAGACTCTATACCTGGAAAATGATAACACTTATAATTTTTCCATGTATAGAATCTAATTATTGGGAGGTCATCTTACAATCAGTGTAATCTTTTATTTGAGTAAATACGATACTTGTGTGCCTTAAGGGTTAAACAGATCTTCACTTAAATCCTGAGTGCATTGGCTCATCTGTGCGCTAGACTAGAGATTACAGATGAAAACATGTCTTCACTTTCCATGTAGACCCCAGCAAAAAGATTAATAGATGAGGAAATATTCTTGGGCAGTAGCAGCAGTACTTGTGCGATACCATCTTATGGAGAGTGCTGGAAATATGCAAGGTCATTGGGAGAATGGCACATTTCTTTCTAATGCTTTCCCACTTCCACCTGTTAGTTTGTCTGTCTTATGTATATTCTTACTTTAAGCACATGGTTCAAGAAACCTTTCCTTGAAATTTAGAAGCTCACAGTAATTGGATATTTCTGCTTTACTAATACTACAGAAGTGTCTTTACTAGAGTAAAGACTGAGTCTAATAATTCTCAACACAGGGATACATTTTTCAAAATGTTGTTCTTGATGACTACATCATCCCTTCTCAAATGAGATTTTGTTTCCACTAGCATTTCACAGGCCATGCAACAGCAGTTTCATCGCTAATGTTCACAACTGTACGACCTCCAAATGAAAATCAACCTTTTGATGGAATTACTGGGCTGTATTTCTTGTCTGGAGCAGTACATGACCGGTTACTAAGTGTATGGTAGGTAAATCTTGCTTGTTTCTGTGGAATATAGACTTGTTTGAAAAGAATAAATCAGATTCTGTTTTTTAGTAATTTAACAGCAGCATTATTCTGGATTAATGCAATGATAACAATTTTGCCTTTCTGACAGTAGAATGAGTGCATGAATGTCCTTGTCTGTATCTGAGCATGATACCAGTACTCCCTGCTCAGGTCACTAAGGGATGCTATGAGCTTGCTATACGATCACATTTTTTGTTTGTAGTTTTTTTGTGTGTTTATCTAGGTTTTTAGATGGTTACTGTTCACTGGTTTTGTAATTTTGTGTTGACTTTTGGTGCTGATGCAGAGGGCAGAATAATGAATGACTTTATGGTGTATGTTTTTTTTTTTTTTTTCTGGTGTTAAATAATATACTTTTTTTTTTCCCCTCAGGCAGATCAGGTCAGATAGGAAAGAAAAGAATGCTGTAATGTCTTTCACAGTTACAGACGAACCAATTTTCATTGACCTGACAGTGTCAGAAAGCAAAGAAGAGGTAAGAGAAGTAGTTTGCACTTGTTGCACAACTTGCTTTTAGTTCGTTGCTAATTCTGTTCATGTTGGAAGCGAGCAGTCTGGCTTATGGCTATGTTGCTTTTGGTAAGCAAGGATGGGTGTTTTGCTGTTAACTCTCTGATTTATACTGGTGTTAGATAACAGCAGTGAATGGTAGTAATGTGAAAAAACTGATTTTTTTCAAGCTGAGTGTGCACTTACATTCAGACCTTTCTCCCATAGGTATATTTACCACATTCTCACAATTTAGAGCCAGTTAATTATCAAACTGCTGCTTGTTGCATCTAGTAGCACAGAATGTTTGGTTTTTTCCAAACTAGTGTGGGCATTGCCACAATTTCCTGAACTGATAGAACTAGAGGGTTCCTATTTTGGGGGGGGGTTTAAGTGAATGAATTTGTGTTTAATACATAGTCCATAAATTGTATTTCTCTCTTGTTATGGTAATCAAGAGGAAGCTTGATGGCATAAAGGGCAGATAAATCTTATTATTGACTATGCACATACTTCATTTATTCAAATTGAAGATTAGCACCCCTCTCCCCCCATTCAACATGGTGGGGCAGTGGCTTGTCTTGGATTCGGGTACATGTAGGGTGGGGCTGCTGTGGTTCCAGCTCTGGCCCTGAGCCTGGGTCAAGGTCAGAATAGCTGCATCCATCTACCTCTTTACAGCCACTACCCCCCATTGCCTACTGTCAAGCATAGGCTCTGGCTCATGCTTATTTTCTTCCAGGCATACACATAAGCTGCATCCCCCTCTGCCCAGGCAATCAACAGCAGTCTAGCTCCAGCCCTGGGACACTGCTGCATGGCTGGACAGGGTTGGAGTTTTCATATGCTTTGTGCCCAGGAGAGAGTGGAGCTGGAGCCATGCCTGACTGTCAGCATGGGGTGGGGGCAGAGGCTGTGGGAAGTGGGTGGGGGAGCAGAGGCTGCAGGGAGGAGGGGCAGAACAGATTTATAAATTTTCTGCATATAGAATTTAATTTTTGGGGATTATCTTAAATTTAAAGTCATTTTGGATTTGGGTAAATACAGGAATTGAAACTAGTTCCATAAACCTGTTTCAGTCTCTGTTTTAAGTACCAGTGTCTCTGTACAGCTTTCAGATCCCTTGAATCATGATACTTCAAGCCAGGTTTTTCATTTTCGCTATGTGGGCCCACCCATTGCCAGAGAGGTCAGGGAGAGTATTCTGTATTATATACATAGCTGTAATTGGCTAAATTGGGGAAGTGTTTTGGTTGAGCTACTACCTCGTTTGCATGTGCAGCCTTAGAATTGGCATCCTTTAGCTATCTGCATATGGAGGTACTGGAAATCCTCCTCCTATTAAATACCACTTGTCCAAACTTGTGCTTCTGCATCATCTAAGGCTTTCTGGTAGGC